AAAACAAAAATAACCCCCCCTCCACCTTGTAAAACACACACACACACACACACACACACACACACACACAATAATTAATTTAGTATAATTTAATATAATATATTTATATAATATATTAATATATATTTAATATAATATATTTATATAATATATTAATATAATTTATATAATAATATAAATAATTTAGTATAATTCTAAAAGTATAAGTAACATAGAATAATAAATAAGCTAGACCCCATAAAAATCAGGCTCATAGGGAAACAGGAAGGTACATACCCATAATCACAGCACTTTGGATGTGAAGGCAGAATCAGGAGTTCAATATCATCCTTGGCTATATGGCAAGCAAAAGAAAAGATTTAAAAAGTCATACAAGGAACCTCTGTGCTCCAAATGGTACTATCTTGAAGGTAGGAAACTACCTATTCATTGGGAAAGATTTACAAACCATTTGTCCCCAGACATATTGAACTCAAAGCAAATACAAAACTCTTAAAACTCAAAATAAGATTCAAATAAACTACTGGACCAAAATTATAATCAATCCATCTCCAATAATATAATTATAAATTACATCTCCAAAAATATATACAAAGAGTGTTAAACATATGGAAAGATGTTTACTACGCAACATGTTTCTTACTATGGGTAATAATGACACCATGATATAATATGGCACATTGCCTAGGACATCTATAATACCAAAATGGAAGTAGAGAAGTTGGCATCTTCATGTGTTATTTTTGGCATTTTGGATAGCAGTTTGACAGTTTCTCAAAATATTAAATATACAGTTGCCAGATCACCCAGCTATATGCCCAATATAATACAAAATCTATGTTTACAAATAAGACTTTTTATATTAATTTTGGTAGAGTCATTTATAATAGATTAATGTTGGTCACTTAATGAATTAACAAACCAAATGTGGTATCTAGCGTAATATTATTCAACAAAAGAAAGAACGAAGTACTGATGCAAGCCGTGCAATGAACGAATGAATGTTGAACCCTAAATGTGAAAGGGACAAATCACATAAGACTTAACAGCGCTGGTCAATCTGAATTGTTAAGAGCTCTGTGAAATCACAGAAATAAACATAAGAATGTGATGGGACGAGAGATAAGGGGAGCACTGGTGAGTGAATCATAATGGGTTTGTGGTTGTTTTATGGCTAGTTAAAAAAATAGAATTTTATAATGGTGCTGATTTTTGTTCTGTAGTGAAAATATTTAAAACCCTGAATTAGATAATTTACAGTGGTCAAATTTCTCATGCAGTAATTATGTCTCAATAAAGCTAATGAAAACAGGACTCTCATTGTTTCCCATTTTCAACACTTTAAAGAAAGTCATTGTAGCTCATGTGCCTTCATTGCTGACTTTCTTTGGTCCTTGATATATATGTTAAGAAGACTTTTCTTAAAGGAAGTTGTTCTCAGTGAAGCTGCTCTCCCCACTCTGTCTTCAGAAACCACACTGGCCCTCTGAAGCCAGAGAATCAACTTTAGAGCTGAGTTATCTTTTTGAAGTGTGGACATACTGTCATAGGAAATGAGACTCAACTCCTATGATTTCCCAAGGAGGAGGTAAATCTGTGTCTGTATTTGAATGTAGATACTTTTTTCTTTTTTTTTTATTTTTTATCAAGACAGACAGAGTCTGTCTATGTAGCTCTTGTGTCCTGGAGCTGGCTTTGTAGACCAGGCTAGCCTTGAACTCTGCCTCCCTAGTGCTAGAATTAAAGGTGTGCCCCACCACCACCTGGCTGAGGGTAGATTCTTAAACTTCTAACCTGCAATAGTTTCCCAAATCTCACTCATGATCACCTTCAGCCAAGTGCTCCTTGATGTTCTAACACCCTTTGAAGGACTTTTATAGGTGTCCAATAGAGCATACAGCAGGGCATGGAGACCCAGTCCAAGCATTACTCAGAGACTACACTTCCTTAGTGGATAATCTGAAGCTCTTCCATTACTGTGTCATGTTGCAGATCTAGTAGTAAAGTAATAAAATTTATGTTGGGGACTTACATTATAGTATCACAAAGTACTTTTTCTCAAGAGCATATAAGTCATGGAGTGATGTTGATGGAATTTGAACAAAGCTGCTGCTTTGTAGAAATTACTAGTGACTCATGTCAGGTACTTGACCACTCTGAATCAGATGACTATAGAAGAGGAAAACAGAAGGAAGGACCACACTGGGTTCAGGTGGTGAGGACATTAAATTAGCTAGTGCAAACTTGGTGTATAAGCAGAATTGCATCCTTCAAATGAGTGTTATTTCTTGCTATACACATTTTTGTTATTATTACATAGTGGTGTGTCCTTGTCAATATATAACATAGAGAGTCATATTTAAAAATAAACAAGAGGCGGAGACACGAGGATTGCTGCAATTTTGAGGATTACCTAGGCTACATAGCAGAACACAACAAAGCTCCATGGGGTTGCTTCCCCTTGAGATCCAAGCTTTAAAATATCTAGAGCTATTGCTTGCCTTCCTTCCTTCCTTCCATCCTTCCTTCCTTCCTTCTTTTCTTCTTTTTCCTTCTAAAAGATAACCCAGAAGGGAGCTAGTTTGTGTCTGACTAGAGCTCTAACTATTGCAGATGTTACTACTGCCAAAGCGTTGGTACTCACTGAAAATACTAATATCCCTATTTTAACGACTTAAGATACACATGACTTAAGATTCTCACAACAAAGTTCTTCAGTAGGGTGCTTTTAAAGTTTCAATAAGAAAACTGGAACAAAACAGTAATTCCAAGGTTAATGCATTGGATTTCCACCCTTTTTAGTCTGGAAATAAATGTATTATTTTATCATCAAATACATCTCAATACTATAGTTATAGAAGATTGTTCTTTGATGTTTTCCTTATAAATGGCTTGCTGGACAGAACAGGGGCCATCAACTGAGCAGTTGAGACAGCACCTGCTGCCCTTCATCCCCTGAGTCCTGCATGTGCCTGATTCTTTAGTGTGGACCAACTTCAGGTGTGACATTCACAGCAGCAGCAAGGTTGTCTTAGGACTTAGTGTAACTAGTATTTTGTTTAGAAAACAAAAGTTTTGTTAAGATACTGGTGGTCCTTGTTTTCCTCACATCTGTGGTGGGAAAAATTGAAATGTCTACTTTAGTGTATTGATTCTTGAGAGGAATGTCATGTCCACTATCTTCCAACACACACACAAGAGAGAACACCACATGAAGATCCTGAAGTTTCAAATCTCTTTAAGTGAAGTCAGCCTTTCTTTTAAAACTCATTTTGCAAAATGGTAGAGTGCTTTAAAGTTGTGTTGTTTCCATTTTCTAACTAAAAATCCTAAATAAAGCTTGTTAAACATTGGATGCTTGGAATGTTACATTTAGAATCTTCACAAAACACAATGGCATCTAAAGTCCCCTGCCCCCTCCCCCTACCATTGAGTTAATGACAATTGTCTCTGTGGTCTTGCTGAGGAGTTCGCCCACAGGAAAACGTTCCTTGAAGGTGTATGCACTCGATCAGGCAGCTGCACACCCTTGAAGAGCTGACAGGCACAGAGACCAGAAGAGAGAGGACGCGGGCACACCAGAACCAAGAGCTGCGGACTTCTTGTTGGTCCAGAATCCTTTCAATGACAGAGATCTCCTAACCTCATCTGGATAAGGGCCGGCTTCAGTTCTGCACTGGCTGCTGCTCCACTCCATGTGCAGCTGGCAAGCCTTTATGCATCTAACTAGAACAGTGCTTTAAGCTTACTCTCCAAGCATTATCTCTGCAAAAGCAGTGCAAGCTGGTGAGAGACGACTGCTCCGGACCCTAAAGAGTCTGGAGCCCTTCCCAGCGAATTGTCTCTCATCCTGCGGAGCACGCCAGCTCAATTACTGGAGAATGAGGTTGGTCCTTGCCACCGCCCTCCCCTCCTCTCTTCAGTAAGAGCAGGGGAAGAGGAGATCTGCTCCAGTGCGCACGGGAGTGACCAAGTGCAGCTGGCTACCAGGGCAGCGACCTGGACCCGAGTCCTTTCCTCTTTCCACCGCTACACCCGCCCTGTGCGCCCTGACCACAGCGCTGGATCATCCCGGCAGGGCTCGTGGGTGACATCACTCCTGAAGATAGTCGCGCTCTGGTCCTCGCCTTCACAAAGCTTCTATCACTGTGTTTGTGGGTTTGTGGAGAGGGCTTCCTGCGAAGAGAGGCGGACGGTGAGCAGCGACCAACCAGACCAGAAGAGGCAAAAGAGCAGGGGAGAGTGAAGGAGTACCCCAAAGGGTGGCGACATGAAATTCAACGCTGCACACTACCTGCTGCCCCTGCTGCCTGCACTCGTCCTCAGCACCAGGTGAGTCCAGGAGCATGAGGCCCCAAGCAAGGAGGCTGTTCTGGTCAGGGAAGAGGCACCTCCCACCTAAGCAAGATGCTAGCTGGGTGATAAAGGATCAAAATCTTTGGAGAGCACAGCCCATCTATAGTTCCCCCAGGTTCCCGGAGAAAGTCTCAGGATTGCCTCCCTTCAGGGATCAAGAGCATCCCTTCGCAGCAAAATGAAGATAACCCCCACCCCACCCTCACCCTCACCCCTGGAGCCCTGTGGTCAGGAACAGTGAACATGCTGAAGTAGAACATCTTAAAGAGAAAGTAGGGAGAGAAGAAAATATCCCCAGAGTGCCTGTTTACATCAGACCTCTGCTAGTAATTAGGGAACTCCGGTAAGCTGTGGTGAAATTCTAAGATTCAGAGAGCCAGAGAAAGCCTAAGGTACTAAGAGTAGTCCCCAAACTCCTCTGATAGCCCAGCTGAAGTCTTGAGTGGTCTTGGTGGCAGGTGACTTCTTTGGCTGTGTTTAAAGTTACAAGACTGAGGCAGAGAAGAACGTAGTTGATAACAATCGGGTACTGTGCTCCATTACTGGCCACCGATGAGAATTTCAGCCCCAGTACAGAGGACCTATTTTTAGAGGAGAATTCAAACGCACTGACTGAGAAGTGCTTTGTGACTGCTGCTGGGGATCGAGTCTCAAAGTTGGTGATGGGTTTGCTTTCTTCTCCTACAAGCACAGCACAAGGGTGGCCTGTTTCAGTGCCCAGGACTGAATTTATTCTGCATGCCATGAGCACCCTACTGACAGCAACCCCTTTTCCTTGGCCTCCATGAAATAAAATAACACATACAGAACATGAATGGAGACACTAACTGATTGTATAATTCACCAAAACTGTACAAGATTTAGAGAGAAAGTACGAAGCAGGCTCACACGCTGAATTCATGCATCTGTTTCTTGTACTATTTCTTTCAGACCTGCATAACCAAATTTTCCATTCCATGCAAATTGTTCCATTTAGCTACTAAAATTGATAAATTTGGTCTTTCTTTAAATACAACCCAACTGACTTTACAAGACTGAAATCAAACTTGAGTGTTATTTCTTCTAATGATTTGATTGTCATTTCAATTTATAATGCTCTTGTGGTTTTTAAAAGAAATCCACTCTGCCTCCCTTTATTCATAAGACTTCTCTAAGTAATGAGCTCTTTTGAACACTGTGGTAAGCACCAACAGACTAATAAAGTTTGTCTTCCAGTCCTTGCCATTTGCTCTCACTTTCTGCTTTAATAATTACTTGTGCATTCTTTTGAATAGAGAGATATTTCTAAAGTTCATACTTAAGTAGATGCCAGTCAACATACCCATTAAATAGTAAATGGTGGGTCAAGGAAAACCCAACTCACAGTGGCAAGAAAGTCAGGAAGCATCTCTTGACTGCCCATAGTCCATTTGCTTTTTAAAGCAGCTGCCATTAAAGTACACAAGCTCTGTATTCTCCACACAAAGCTTGTTCTACTTCTGTAATGCAAGAGTCATGAACTTTCTATCTATGAAAGTGTTAATTTCTATAGATGTCATTAAGACTGAAAGTCAACACATTTATTACAAAATATTAAGTTAATCTGATTTGATATTAGATAGGAACATTCTACACTACTGGTATTTGAATTTTACAAAAAATACAAGATGTACTTGAAAAGTAAATTTCCATAATTAGTAACCCATTTACATAATTGCCCTGGGCTATTTTATTGTTCTAGATCCCCAGGTCACCTTCTGATGGTGAACATATTTGAAAATGAATGTGACTCTATCAGTGTGTCACTTGCCAGAAGAGAATGGGCTTTGAAGGACTCTCCCAGAAGGCCATTCTCCTTTCGGTAGTCAGCAGTTATCATTGTCATGTGGCAAGCATAAAGGTTAAAACTCAGAGTGCAAAGCTCTGTGAAGACAGTTGTGTTAGTCAGGATGGGCTTGCTATAGTGCTGAGCAACATGGTATGGCTTAGCCATGGCCACCTGTGACTGGTTTTTGTTAGGTGACTTTCTTAGTGTTCCCTTATATGAAGTAATTGCATCTTACATGCTTACACTGTGCTGTCTAAGTCTATAGAGAGTGACAATTGCCGCTTGTTGACTCTAAAGTTCCTTCCAAATGTAGGGAATGTGGAACTAAAACTCTTGATGTGGAAGTACATTTGCCCTGTTATGTGTCTCTCTGAGTATAGATCCTCTATTTGCTTTTTCTGCCATAGGCCGGGTGTTCACCTCTGTCTGGAAGGGAAAGAATGACTGCTTTGAAACAGGTGCTTTAGTTTGAAGAAGACAGATGCTTTATAGTACTGTTCTAGCTATAGTACTATTCCAGGGTGGAAATTCTCAGATAAGCCTGTCTTTTAAATAGGAAGTATTGGAAGCTGTATGTTTTGTTTGCCCTCCCCCTTACTACTACAACTAGAGACCCCACAGACATCAAACAGACATCCCACAATTCCATCAGCATGAACAATATCAGCACCCCTGGCTTAGACTTCATTTGTTCTCAAAGAAACGTGAATGCTCACCTTCATTCAACAAGCATTTTCCTCTACTTTCCCACAGAGCCCCATGGAGAGAGAGAGAGAGAGAGAGAGAGAGAGAGAGAGAGAGAGAGAGAGAGAGA